TAAGAACAGTCCAAAGTACAAAGTGTCAAACTTGACGTGCTCTTGACCGTACATAAGCTTCTTGAACTGTTAACAAAAGGGCATTTTTGCTAAAAAAAAGTACAACCTCACTTTGGCAAACCCCTCAACTCCAGGTTTTTGTCTGAAATGAATTACATAAGTAAATTTAGATCAGAATTTCAAACGATTCCATGAATATTGTTGTGCTAGAATAGATTTCATTTATTAACCAACTTGAAAAAGGAGGACTATGTTTTTTTTATATGTATGTTATGCGATAACTTGTGAACTGATTTTGATGATTCTTTTTTTTTGTTGGAAAGAGGGTACCTTAAAATACATAATTATCTTTTTCCCTTTTTAGGGTCAGAAGAAAGCCACATTCTTTTAACTTCGTCAAACCTCTTAAACTTGCTGCATCGATGTTCAGTCCCAAAACTAAAATTTACTTTTAGTGAGTAGTTAACCAGTCTCATTCTCAGTCTTATCACCAAGAGTAAAAAATCCAAAAAACCTTTCATTTGATAACTTTGTAATTTGGGGTACATTGTTATATTTAATAATAATTATGAATTTAATCTAATTTTCTAAACAATGTATTAACAATAACAAAATTTATTGCTATTTTTTATCTTTTTTCTTATTATATGGTAGCAATTGTACACATTTTTCCTGATTTCTCTTAAAATAGCTTTATTACTTGCATTCTGAAGTAGTTATGATAATTTAGAGATATAAGATTAAGTTAAAAGGAACAAAGTTTGAAATTTTTACTTTGTATTTTTCAAGTAAAAATACAAAGATTTACCCCTTAACTTGCTCATAAACATTGGATTTTTAACAAAAACAAACACCTAATACTACCTTTTTATTTTACTGCAAATGATATTGATATAAACTTGCAAATCAATGTTTTTTTGACTTTCCTTCCTATAAATCTAATCTAAAAGGTTAAATGTTTGACATGTGTCAAAAAACGCGTATAGGTAGAGGTACTGATTTGATTTTTATTTCACTGTGATTTAAGGCTGTTATTGCCAGTGTTTTTGTAATATTATTATAAAATAAATATCTGATTATCTCATAAGAATAATGTTATTTACACGTTAGGTAATGAATGTTATTGTATTTCAAAGAGCATATTCAAAAAATGTAAAAAAAAATTTAAAAGAAATAAATATTGTTATTCAATTATTGCAACTTATTGTGTTATTTTCAGATTCTATGTATTAGGAAGGTAGATTGTATTACCTATAGAAAACTAAATTAATCATATTTTAACAAAGTGAGTACGAAAGCCAGTTTCCAATTATTATATATTATAATATATATTTGTAATTAATAGTTTCTATTATCATATAGACTTCAGATAGATTTATGCATGAGGATTTAAACTAAAAACGAAAATGATGACGGTAATTTTATCCCTTTCCTTGTTGAGGGTTTAAAAAAACGACTTCATTGCCTATATCTATATTTATTCATCATTCTCCTGTTCATCAATGTCCTCCACATCTTCCTCTGCATCTGGAGCTTCCCACCAGGTCAGCAGCCCTAGTCCAGGCTCATTGATTCCAGCTATTAACCTGTATGGAGCTACTGTTTGTACTGGACATTCTGTACCAGGAGGCCCAGTAGGTAGGCTCTCTTCAAAAGTTTCACTTGTTACTCTGAATCTTATAGGTTCACCTGTGAAAAAATATGTAGGAATTTAATTCTACATACAACAGATTAACTTATTTATTCAGTGTAAATGTTTATTTTTTAATTTTATTTTATTAATTGCTACCAAATTTTTTAACATTTTATTTATGTATTAGTAGACATAAAAATAAACTTCAGAACATGGGATTTTTTAAGCTTCTGCCTGAACGAAGGGTTGTAGGTAAAATGAAACTCAAGCAAAAAATAATACACATCCAATAATACACATTGTTATAAAAATGCAAAAAATACTTGGATTTTTTTGTCCGATATATAGTACAGAATATTGCTATTTAATAATTATATTTTCAAAATTTTCAATAACTATATTTTAAATTTTTATTGAATTGATATTCAATTATTTTTTGTGAAATTGCACCACTAGTTCGTTATAATTATTAATTAAATATATAATAATAAAATAAAAAAAATATTAATACAAAGATTGAACACTCAGAAAAATTCCTTCAATTTGGCCAGATTCGATCCGACATCTTCTAGCTTACCGTGCCAGACGCTATACCAACTAAGCCACGGAACGAACCAGCGGACCTCACGAATTTTTCTATGTGCTTGTTGTTGTGTCTTTGTATTTGGTTTTTCAACGACTTTTTAGTCGTAGCGCCATCTATGAGAGATCTATGAGAATTTTTATCCCTCAGTTAGGTGCCTTTACAGCTATCGGCCCTGGCGAGAGATATCGCTATTCACTGTATTTTAAATTTTTATTGAATTGATTTTCATTTTTTGTGAAATTACTCCACTAGTTTCATATAACTATATATTTTTTTAAATAAACTTCAGAACATGTGAAGGACAATGTAAGGAAAGATTGTAAGTAAAAAAGTAAGTCAAGCATAAAATAATACATAATATCCTGTTATGTTATAGAAATTAAAAAAAAAAAAGATTTTTTGAAAAATTTTATTAGATACCTATTATTGCCATTTTATAATAATATTTTGAAAATTTTTAATGAGTATATTTTTTCAGTTATCTCCGTTAATTTACAAAACAAAATGTGCTAGATAAAAGCCTCACCTGAATCCATGAACAAGTCATGTTTCTCTCCATCTTCTTTAGGGTACTCCCAGACCCACGCCTGGTCTGTCTCGTCAAACCTTGAAGGGTGTTGGAGGGCATTCACCGGTATTAAAATGTCATCAAAGAATCCTAAAGTTACTGGAAATAAATTTATAATAAATATATTGATAACCAACAGTAAAACTTCATTCAACAGGTTGAGTTTTGGTTTTTACACATTCAACAGAAAAGTGTTAAGGAATTCGCACTTTTTGGTTGAAATTAGTATTTATATAATGTAAAACCATTGACTTACAATTATATGGACGTCGGGTCCGCGCTAAAAAGTGTCCGAACTTATAGGGCGTTAAAATCGTATACAGAGCGTCATTCACGCTTTAGTCTTCGTTTGTTTCTTCTGACAGCGAAGCAAGCAAAATTAGACAGTACTGCGATGACATTACAATTTAAATTCAACGTTTTAGCTTTTTCATATTCCGTTACATGTCACTATGTTTAAATAGGTTGACTTGGGACATTTTTTTCATGGTTTTTGTATTAGACCCATCGTCCATTTATTTGTAAGTCAATGTGTAAAACTAATTAAATGAAATTAATGAAATTAGCTTAAAAAGTTTCTGAAAACATAATTCACTAATGATGTAATGAGAAAGTCATACCAACATGAAGTTTATGGCTAACAGGTTAAAGGTTAAATTTGTTTATTACTACTATTCTTCACACTGATCTGCTCAGAACGAAATAGACGGTTAGGTAGTCAGGTATTAGTTAGTTTGGTTAAGTAGTTTTTTGGTTTTTTTTAATAATAATAAAGACAGGACAAAGTAAAGCGCCTGGTGGTAAACAACACGCCTGTCCCTAACAGTTGCAGTGCCACTCAGAGCTTTAAATCACAAAGATCTGAGGGGCTGCCACTGCGCTCAACACCCTGAGCCATAAGTTGACAAGTCCCATGTGCCTGTAATTTCACGAGAACCCATACCCTTCAAAACGCAATAATGTTCATATCACTGCTTGGTGGCAGAAATAGGTAGCTTCCCTGGATGAACTCTTTCACAAGAAGCTCTACTAAGTTTTTTGTGCAACCAATGTTTCGACAAGAGTGAAAGAGCAGACTCAAAGGAAATGAAACTATTTTTCTGGATTTAAATCACGTATATTTGTTTTTTCAAACAAACCGACGTTTCGGGTCCTTTACAGGTCCCACGGTCACGGTTGACAGCAGCAGACTCAAATTAATTTTTCTATTTTGTAGGTGTGTAAGTGATCTATGTAGAGTAACCAATGAACTATTTAGGTTTTTTACTTACCATGTACACCTTCTCTGCTGCAACTTCTAATTTTGCCAATAATGATTTCCTCTATTATTGGTCTAAACACTATGTAACGAAATTTAACTTCTGTATGGGACGAACCGTCACCAGGGAATATGTAAGAATGTCCAATCTCTGTGATATCGAATAATGCTATGCATAGACCAACGTTTAAGACAACCTGAAAGTCAACGAAAAATTACGATTTTCGTTATTTTAAAACTTCAAATTTCATCAAAACCAACACTGAAAGTCTATGAACAGGTTATATTACCTTATTTGCAAGTTTTCTATTTAATAACGTAGTAATAGAATCAGTCAAGCTTTGGTGAAAATTGTCAGGAGTTACTCGTATAACATCTTTCATTTCAGCTAATACAAACATTTCTTAATAACTTTAAACTACAGTAGCGTGTGGAAACTTTAATTAATTTAATCTTCTCCCCGGCATCAAAACATTTGTTTTGTTCACATCCATTTTTTGACGTTTCTCTTTTTTTTCCGTCGTTCCGTATGAAAAAGGCGAAGCTCAGATCAGACCATACTGCCCACAGTGAGCACTGAAAATCGTACTCAAGTCCTTGCCATTAGGGTTGTATTTTCAGTGCTTGAAATCATACTCAAGTCTGCTCAAATCTTGACTTGAGCATTGAGTACAGTTCTGGAATACGACTCTTCCAGAACTCTACTCAATACTCAAGTCAGGACTTGAGTATTGCAGTAAGCACTGCAAATCATACTCAAGTCCTTGCCATTAGGGTCGTATTTCCAGAGCTTGAAATCATACTCAAGTCTGCTCAAATCCTGACTTGAGCATTGAGTAGAGTTCTGGAATACGACCCTCTTACACCAAAAAGCAGCGTTGCCAATCCTAAAATCCTAAAATTAGCAATCCCCAAAAATCAAGGTTGAAATCGCCAAATTTGGGGAGAGCAAAGTTCATATTCCCCACAAAGTACCTACGCAAAATTTATTCATTCTCAGTATTCATTATAATATTATTATGGCTATAATGCCATCGGTTAAAAATATATCAAAGAATTAAGAAAATCAAAACGTCTCTTACGTTATGCTAAGATTGGAAATGATCAACGAGTTAAACTAAGTTTATACCTAAATTTAAAATTTAAAGTTAACGAACGGCAAATTGTGGTCGGCTAGTTTGGCAAAAGTTGATTTCATTTTTTTTCATAGCGGGCACCGATCTAAACGGGAGGAAGGTTTAAAAGTACCAAATCTAAGTTACAAAATAGTTATATTTAGTAAAGTTGCTCAAAACCTGGTATTTTTCGTACTACAAATCGTGCCGAAAGTTGGATTTTTCGCACTAGTGCTTTTTACTTTTCCACTTTTTTTAAATTTACTGTTGTTTCAAGTCTTTAAAACAACAGTAAATTATTTATTTAATAGTTGTATGTTTATTTAATATTTATGCGCTTTGTGCCGTAAGTCATTCGTCATTAAAACTTATATTTACTTACAAACATCTTTTTGTTTAAATTGCATGGGTGTTTTATAAAGCAACGGGTTACTTTTAAAAATTATTTTATTTTATTAATTATTTAAATACTGAGTTCTTAGGTTTTAGCGATTGTTACACATAGGAAATGAAACTATTTTTAAGTGGCGATTTTTCGCCACTTGGCTACTTGTAAGGGCGCGTTCCCACTATGTCGTCACGTTTTATTATCGTTGGACGACTGTCGTGTCTAGCCTGTTCCCATATCACGACTATCTGCCGTGGTCGATTTTTTACAGTTGAACGACTGTCGTGACTAGCTGTTGCCACTAGATCGTGATGACAATTTATCGTTGCACGACAATCTCCTTGTCGTTTACACGACAGAATAGTTTGATGCACTGCAGTCGCTTGTACGTTTTTTTGGAAGCCGGTAGTGCGTGTTCGCTCGAAATGGATGAAGACGAAATTTTAATAATGTATTACTTTTTAAAAATGCGGAAGAGGAAGCAAACAAAGAAAAGAAAGTTTTTGGTACATCCAGTGCTACTAAAAAGAATTCCATTAGGGTTATGTCAAACAAATTTGGTATAATTCCAACACTAACAACATAATTTACAATAGCTTGTAACAAATTTCTATATTTTATTACACGAAGAAGAGGCATCTCCACATAATACCCACCACCTGTTAATCCTGTTGATTCTCAATGAAGATCAATTTAAGTGCATACGATCTAACGATTTTTTGTATCAATTTATTGATGAATTTTTCAAGCGAATCTATTCAATAGAAAGGTAAATCGAGTTGTCTTGATAATAAAACAACGAATATTTTGTAATAATATGTATAATTAAATTTTAACAAAACTCAATTCACGACAAATATTTAGACGTAAATAGTTTTTGCCCTCGATTTCGAGGTTTATACCCGATTTAAACCCGGCGTCAACAAAGCGCCGGGTTAAAACTCGGGCGTTTGTTCATCTCTGGCTACGACCCAACGCTACTGTAAAGCGAGCAGAGGGCGCGGGGTACGAGAGGGGAGGGCAGGGAGCAGAATACTTGCGGACAGCGATAAATAAAACGCTACGACAATAAGAGCTGCGACAATCTGTCGTCACGTTTTTATCGTGACTTTTTGTCGTCAGACGTCTGTCGTTCTAGCTGTTCCCACCGTGACGACAGTTTGTCGTTGTAACGATAAAAAATCGTGAACGACAGTTAATCGTGTCGTGCTATAAGTGAACAACTTCATTTAAATATACAAGCCACTATATTTAAATGAAGTTGTGTTATACTGTAAACTGCACGGCAATCTGTCGTCACGCCATAGTGGGAATGCGCCCTAAGAGTCGCACGGCGACTAAAAAAAGTGATCGGCGACTCGGCGATATTTTAGGCTACGCATTTGGGGGTTTGAGTATTTCTACGTGGGGAGATTTGGGGAATTATGAAAGTTCGTATTCCCCAATTTCAGACAGCAAGCTGAGATGTAGACGTGTTTTTCTTGCACACATAAATTAGCGAATTAATTTCGCAAAAGTCTGACAACATTGTCAAAGAGGAGCACAAAATCACAAATTAAAAAGATAGTCACAAAATTAGAAACAGTAGGTATCTTTCTAATTTGTGAAAGATAATATATTATAATAGAAATATTATAGTAAGAGGAGTACCTTAAAAACACCTTGTTTCTTGTTTGCTAACTCAAAAACAGAATGTCAAAGAGAAAGAAAGTATTATGGTCACAAAATATAAAGATATTTATAGTACGTACTACGTACAGAAGGAAGATAATGTAAATTGAGTACAAAGAATTGAGTATCTGTGCGTCAAACTATGCGTGCATAGAATTGGATGCACAATAATAATTGACTGTGCATTGCTTAGAGGATGGAAAAAAGTGCATTGCATTGAGTGTTGTGATTGTGAAACAGATTTATTCGGTTCGTTTTGTCTGTTTAATTTTTTTGATTCGGAGCTAAAGAATTTACTTGATATGTAAACATTGAGATAGTGAAATATTTGTGTTCGTGCTTTACTTGAGCTTCGTAAAAATGTCAGGTAAGCAAACATAATAAACTCATATTTTATGACAACACTTGCGACAAAGAATACCCAATTCCAAATGATTCTATTTCTATTCAATCTTTCCTAACCGAAGTAAATAAAAAGGAGTAAACATTCGTTTGTTTGGAGTAATCTTACAAGCTATATAGATCTTAAATTCCTTTAAACATATTAGTAGTATTTCTGAACTATAAATGAAACTATAAATATTCTGCCACGGGAACCTAATTTTACTAATTGAATATCGTCCTAGTTTTAGTTTTAAAATAATATTGTATTTTTTACCTTGCTTGTCTATTTATAAATAAATACTGTTACTACAATATTTTCTTGAAGTGTCTCTTCATGGAGTAGACCACGAGGTCATCAGTTCGCTACTGTTCTCAAATATGTGTCCATTCATTCTCTTCAGGCAGTGTTGTGTAATAAAATTGTTTAAAAAATCTGAAATAGTGAAAGTTTTTTTCTAAATATTATTCAGAAAAAAAAACAAAAGTGTAAGAGAAAAACTGGAAAAATATTCAGATTTATTCAGAATTTTTTTTTTGTATATATAGTGGTTATATAATTAGAAACACTTAGTCACTTGGTAGTCTTTTCATGTAACTAACATCATTATTGCAATTATTTCACAGTCAACCATGACCATGGGACTTGTAAAGGGCCCAGACGTCAGTTTGTTTCAAAAAACAAATATACACTATTTAAATCTGGAAAAATGGTTTCATTTCCTATCTAAAATACATTTTTCACAAGGTTGTTATATCATGCATTTTGCCACCTGTTTTTGCTTATTTAGTTTGGTTACCTTAATGTCTAGCTAAATTATTAGAAAGGGGTAAAAAGAAGAGGTGTGATGCAGTAACAAGAAAGATTATAGTGAATTTTCTTTCCTATGAAAATGGACATACCGAAAAATCGCTGATCATTTAGAGTGTTCTATAAAGATGGTATTTAATGCCATAGCATATTTAAAAAACCTGAAACATCTTATAAGGTGCCAAGAAAAGGTCGGTCAAGGAAGACCACTGTCCATGAAGACAGACTTATGATTCGTTTAGTTAAGACAGATACCTTTGAAGGTTCTAATATTACAAGGCAGGAGGTATTTTTACAAGACGATGGTGAAATGTTAAACTATTAGGATCTTTTTCGAGAAATGGGACTGGTCCTGTGGGAAAGATTGACGGTCTGATGGATGAGTATCTTAAAGGAGACAATGATCCCATATTCCGATGAATATTTGCCAATGACTTGGATATTTCAGCACGAAAATGACCCAAAGCATACAGCCATAGCGTTAAAAAAGTTTCTCAGAGAACAATTGGTGACAGTGTTAGAGTGGCCTGCCAATAGCACGGACTTAAATCTAATAGAAAATTTGTGGCACACTATAAAGAAATCATTGTCACATAAACAACACACAAACAACGAATTTTACTATGCTTTTGTAGAATCTTGGAAACATATGGAAAATTGATAGAATCAATGCCGCATTGTTACAAAGCTGTAATTGACAACAGAGGTTACCCCACTAAATGCTAATGCAGTTTATAAAATATATATGCAGTTTATATATATATAGTTTATAAAATGCAGTTTTGGATGAAGTATTTATCCAAATTATTAAAGGTTTCCTTCACTTTGCTCATGATTTTACGGTTGATTTTTTTTGTCTCTAATTAGTTGTCCGGCACAGTCCATTGTATTTTAATTTGATCTCAATAAATATTTTAATTTTGTAATATTACCATTGTTTTATTACTAAACTGGTATAATAATACATTTTGTATGCCGATACATCCTTGTAGATACGTCGGAGCTCTCTCTATACAGTTAAAATTTCATTATTAAGATAATTTGTAATGACAATAGAAGTCAAGGTTAGTGTTTTTATTTATATGATCACCACTGTATACATATATTTTTTCTTAAATTAACATTAACACTTTCTAATGCCAAGTTTTGTTGATAACTTTTTTCTTCTAGACTAGGTGATACAGCATGTGATCAGCCAAAATCAAAATTACATTATTGCCACTGATTCCTGAAAGTATCGAATCAGAAAATAATGTTGTAATCCCAAAAAATGAGAATTCCTGGTAGTTTAGAGACTGGGATTGCTCAGTTTTGAAACCTATTTAGCATGCCATTGACTAATACTGTATTTTGTGCATTTGTGCAACTCGGATGGTGGTATATACAGGGTGGCTCAGAAGTGATGGTCAAATGACAATTTAACAAGTACTGTGTTGATAGTTGTAGATACATATGTATGAGTTGACAATATTACACACTATCTTATGGGTTCTTGCAATTAGGGAGTGCCAATCCCAATCATGTTTGAAATCCGGATTTCGAAAACAGATTTGGCAGCAAATCCTGATTAAAGAAGATAGATAAAAATTAACAACTATTAGACATTAAATATTTATAAAATTTATAACTTAGAAAAAATGCAAAATCTAAAATTCTATTTAATTAATTTAGAAATAATCTAACAATTTTTTCTCTGAAACAAAAAAGGTCATAAAAATGACAGGGCATCAATTGTTTTATCATTTAACCTGCTGAGGATTCTATTGCTCAAAATTCTGTTTGCGGAAGCATGAATAAAAATGTTTAAAAAACCCAGATTCCAGATGAATTTCTAGTCTGAGAAAAACTGGACTTTTTTAAATTACGAATTATTCGGATGGCATACCCCAGGTTTTATTTTAGGTTTTAATTTGTCTTATATTATTGTTTCAGTAAACCGAAGAGACAGATCAAGGTCTCCCATGAGAGTAGGCATTGTGGGTCGCAGAAGAGACAAGTCAGAGTCTAAGAATGGGAAACCAGGCAATGGCATTCCTAATTCCAGTGTAATGAGTCAACAGATGATGATACCTAATATGTTTTCACAGGGTTAGTTTGTCCACTTATAAAATCTAATGTAATTCACACATTATGCTCTCGCCCAGACACATTAGTACTTTTAGATTTATTTTCAGTCTAGTTTATTAAAGTTGAATACTTAGCATAAGTAAAACTTTATTTAATGTTGTGATTATGTTTCAAGAGTTAAGAGTAAAGTTTCTGAAATGAGATGCATTGGACTTGTTAACATTTATTTAAATTCAATTTTTCATAATTGTGTTAATTATTGATTATGTCAGGTAACATGATGATGCCTGGGGGCATGTTCCCCAACATGATGATGCCAAATGCAATTATGCCCAATAGCATGATTCCCCCTCCTGGAATAGAAATAATGCAAGGGGGTAGCATGGAAATGTTGCCACAAGCCCCACTGGATATGGCAGGTTTAAGTGGGCAATCTATGCAGGCAGCTGTCCCAGCTTCAATGGACATGAGCATGATGGGGGGAATGATAATGGATCCTTCTATGATGTCTATGTACCCTAATATGGGAGCAGATATTAGTGTGATTCAAAAGAAGGAAGTACTTCTTAAACATTGTAAGCTGAGTCCTCCGAGTCCAGGCACAGCGGAGCCGCCTCGACGAAATAAACCACCAGGCTGTCGAACCATATTTGTTGGAGGTTTGCCTGACAGCATAAGAGAAAATGTTGTAAGGGAAATATTTGAAAGCTACGGAAGAATACATACCTTAAGGCTTTCTACAAAGAACTTCTGTCATATCCGTTTCGACAGAGAGAGCAGTGTGGATGCTGCAATGATGATATCTGGTTATCATCTTAAGCTGTTCAAAGATGGCAAAGAGGAAGATGAAGATACTAAAGCGAATTCTGGATGGTTGCACGTTGATTATGCCCTGGTAAGATACCACAATCATTATAATGTGCTCATTGGCGTGTACTAAAACTTTTTTTATTATGCCTTAATTGCAGAGCCGTGACGATCAAAATGAATACGAGCGGAAGCAGCGACAAGCGTTGAGGGCTCAAGAACAACAAATGCAGCAGTTGGCTGCTCAGCAGCAAGCTCTTGGTGCTTCTTCGCGAGGGATGACTTTTGAGCGCTCGCCATCGCCTGTTAGGATCCAACCATTCTCCAATGGCGCCATTCTACAACTTGCTGAGAAAATTAAGAGTGAAGATAATTTTGCTACCACTCTTCCCGTAAAGATTTCTAACATACTTATTTTCTACAATTTCTAATCTTGAGTGCAAGTCTATTTTTTGCATATATTTTTTTTTAATCCAGACTTTGATAGCGTGGCTGGAACGAGGCGAATGTTCTAAGAAAACTGCGACACAATTCTACTCTATGATCCAAGCTACTAATGCGCATATTCGGCGTCTATTTAACGAAAAAGTCCAGGCAGAGGAAGAACTCCAAGAATGCAAAGAAAGGGTCAAAAATAGTATTCAAAAAGTGATCGATCAACGTAAGTAATTAAATTACCTATTTTTCCACACTCGTAATAGAACTAGTCAAACAAGATCTCTGACATTAAAAGTCTCGCTTGTCCAATCTCTAGTAGTTTAATATCTCAAGGTAAGGTATAGAATATTATAGAATGCGAGTGTTCAATTAAATTAAATTGGCACTTCTAGAAAGTAAACATTAGGGTGTGCCACACTCGTCATTGCATTTCAGTACCACGCCCATACTAAAAATGTGGTATGGGATGATATTGGCGTTGTCTGGGTGTTGTTGAAGCAGTTGCCGAGGCATGCGGATTTGACGCCCGACTCTTACTTATATTTAGGCTAAGTATGTTAAATAGTGTGGGAGCACGCATAGGAACCACTATTTGTTAGGATTCAAATACATCTGGTAGTATCTGCATTAAGATGATTAAATTTAAAATAATCATCAAAGTTAGCAAATGCAGTAAAACTGGTTATTTAAAATGGTCACTCTGGTCTGGTCTCCTACAAAGTCAACCCTGTATTCTCAGAGTCTGGATCGTTCGGCTGACCCCAAGCGTTATGTTATACAAATAACTTAAAATCTTCAAGCAAGCTTGGGCATGAGTAAGTTGTAAATGATCTGACAATGAATTTTCAATATTCTAAGATCAAATCTTTTTGTTTATCACTAAGATATAGTTAAGCAAAATTTATTGTCCGAACATTATTAAGGGGCACTCAATGCGGAGACATGCGACATGTTATGTCATCGTGAACCAAGGTCCTTCGGAGAGCCTGAGACGTCCCATCGCGAATGTCCGACGGTATGTTCGGTCACACGATGCCCTTAACATGATCATTTGTGAACCTCAGTCGAACAGGTGGCGAAAGTTTTCACTGCAGCTACACACCAGCGCGTCTGGGACCACTTTACTAAACCCCAGCGGAAGAATATTGAGACGTGGCAAAAAATGGCACAGGTAACGAGCGTAAAGAATCTTAGTTTTATTTAATTTTGTCTACTGTAGTAAGGTAACATATTCACGTTCCCTCTACAAGAAACAAAAATTCCGCGTCAAGTTCACCTCCATATTGACAGTTGGTATAACTCATTTGTGTGTCGGTGTAGCCAATTGGATACATGGATGACACTATGAGTCACTTATTCTGGTATTCATTTGGACAATGGAGATATTGAAATACTGGAAATGTTTTTTGTACTGTTTACAACAACATCATTCACATATGTACATATAGAGATACTAAGGGTTTGAGAAAATCTAAAGTTGTTGGTTTAGCTAGGTTTGACTTCAACTTTTTGATACTATACTACAATAGTATTTTGAGGACGACAAATCTGATCAGAGCTTGCCATTGAGTTAATTGAAAAGTTTCTGTTAATTTTCGTGTTGCACTTATTCTGCAACTTTAAAATCGGCTAGCTTATTAGGCTTTAATTCTTTCGAGAATGACAGCAAAAGATTCGTCGTTATTAAAATGCGCAGGTTCGCAAAAAAATCAATTCAGGTAAACAAAAGAAGGAGTTAAAAATTAAAGCATTAGTAAATTCTCACTTATATTGAACATAAAACTTTTATGAAGTTGTTGTAAACAGTAACTTTGGAATATACTAAAACGTTGGTGCAGAAGACAGCAGGATTCAGTAAAGGTACAGTACAATAGACGGAGCAGAAAGGTAAAGAGCCAAAAGGTAATGTAGGAGCACACACACTAAATTTCGTTACATAAGTACTAATGTTTTTATTTTGACAATAATAACAACACTTATAATTTTCATCACTGGTTTATTGACTTTGTACATTACAGGAATTTAGTTCTTTGAAGGACGAATTCCATGAGAAATTCTATAACGAAGACAGTGAGTTCAACGGAGGGTACATGAAGAAGACAATTGACTTGGGCGGTAGTGGCGAGGTCCTGCAGTTAAAGGTAAATTTATTTTCATACTTTAGTCTTTGTTCTCTGTGTTCCGATCAGTTTTCTCATCCCAGATTGTCTACACATTTTTGTAAGCTATTATCAAACCTTCTTACCCCCAACCATTGTTGTGTAGTTGACTGCATTTCAACTATGGTAGGTATAATAAAAATTATGTATATTTTTTTTAAGTTTATTGAATGTCACTATGTTTTACAACCATGATATAATTTTTTTTAATGTGTCTTTTGTAAAGTGGGAGTGTTTGCTGTAATTATCACCCTTATTTGACAATCGCTATAAAGCTCCATAATCAAAATAAATCCAAGGCTCAATTTATATTGCGGAACGGAATGGAAGCTAATTTTTATAACGATATTGTATTTAATGGTCAATTGTGTGACGTACAAACTAGATACGAGCCAAAATCTTCCGCGGAATTCTCACAATGCTCGCGCATTCCGCGGAAGATATTGACTCGTATCTAGTTTGTACGTATCGTAACAAAAATTAGCTTCCATTCCATTCATATTATTATATATTTTATTATTATTATTATATATTTTATTATTATTATTATTATATATAATATTAATAAACTGAGCCCAATGCACAGTGAGACGCTGTGTCCAATTTCCCTTTTTTAATGCACCATGTTGTTAATTTAAGAAAATGTAAACTATTTATTTTGTTTTCAGCGTGAGAACGAAAGTCTGAAATTCCAGCTAGAAGCGTACAAAAACGAAGTAGATGTAATAAAAGCCGATGCACAGAAAGAGTTAGATAAATTCAAAGCACAATTCATGGCCCGACAAGCATTGCAAGAAGCATTTGACAACAATGTAATGTTACATATATTTTTACAAAAATGTTGTGTCTAATTTTACAATCTTCAAAATCCATTTTGTAACTACAGACAAGTCCTTTATATAAAAAAATCTAATAATTTTTGTATAAGCAATTTGGCACGAATAGACTAAACTTTCCCTACCTTCTTCACATCCCAAATAAATATATTGAACTTTCGGACCGAAGATATGGATCCTGTAAGAGAAGTAAGTTATTTTGTCTACTTCAGCCGCCTCTTCCAATAATATCGACAATGAAGCCGCCACCTCCGCCTCCGTTGCCCGAGGACCTCGACTCCAAAGTACACCTCAAAGAAGCCGTGGAAGCTGGCTGCGGAGAGGCCATGCTCATTGGAGTCATATCAGCTTTTTTGCAGGTGGGATTCACGTTTATTCCGCAACTAGCTTTTACATTTATGTTGTCTTTTTTTTAAGAGTTTGGTATATTTTTTCCCGAAGTAGAAGTTGTTATTGTGTTAATTCCAATCATCCCATTTACTACCGTCCAAATTATTGAGCTATTACGTCGCCATTGCGAATTAGGTAACACTTTCGAATGTTTGCAATTAGGTAATTAATTAAAATCAAAATCTATTCTAAGAACGATTAACCTACATTCATTCTACAATCGGGCCACCCACTTGCCTTAAGTCATATATACAAATCCATATCAATCCTGCCCTACCCGGTGCGACCTTAAATATATAGGTATAATGGAAAGTGATACACCCAATATCAAATGCGCCAACTCTATTCATGACTCTAAACTAAATAAACGTCTAAATTTATATTATGGTTAGTAAAATTACATTACATTCTAATCCGAAAATCGAAACTTGCTCAACAATAGCAGCGGATCAACTGTACAGTGTCAATGAAAGTTAAACTGCTGCCAGAAGTACTGCATGTAGGCGAAACCGACAGCTGCGCGTCTAGCTCAGGCGCTAAGTGTAACGGCCCAGTAAGATGGAGAGAGTTTCGTGGCGAAAAATCGTACGCGATTATCGTAAGATTATATCGCCATAAGATTATCGTATCCATAATGTTTACATTGAGGCAAGAACAAAATCTCGCCTACGATTATGTCATATACGAGATTCGCAAGCAACTTAATCGCCTCCTCGACTGTTTACACGGAGAAATATGTAGTAAGGAGATTCTTGTTTACGAGTTTTCGACTTGTCTAAACACGATCTCGTAGGACATATTTTCAAGTTCATACGATCGTACAAATCTAGTCTAATCTCAGTGCGTGCGTGCGCGCGGGCGTGCGTGCGTGCGTGAGTGAGTGGTGAGTGAGTGAGTGAGTGATGAGTGAGTGAGTGAGTGAGGGGTGAGTGAGTCAGTGAGTGGTGAGTGAGTGGTGAGTGAGTGGCTGAGTGAGTGAGTGTGTGAGTGGTTAGTGAGTGAGTTGCGAGTGGGTGAGTGAGTGAGTGAGTGAGTGAGTGAGTGAGTGAGTGAGTGAGTGGTGAGTGAGTGAGTGAGTGAGTAGGGAGTGAGTAGGGAGTGAGTGGGGAGTTAGTGAGGAGTGTTTATTGAAAAGTACATTTACTTGAAAAGTCGTGTCGGCCATTTTGGATTTAGAAATAAATGCTATGTTCGTAATGAGCACCCCCAAATACCTCAAAAACGATACCCAACTTGCCATTATTTGAAAAGTGCGGGCACGACTTTTCATCCTGGATTTAGAAAGGAGTGCCATATTCGTTACGAGAGCACCCTGAATACTATATTGCCCACGCTATATTCGACCACAGAGGCACTCACTCACTCACCGTTATTTGAAATTTTTTTTTCGCTCTTGTTCCATTAATTCTTATCTTAGAAAAGCAGTGATAATCAAAACACCCTCGCGCGCTGCACTCGTGGTAGAAACGGCTGGCACAGAAACTCGAAATACGATTTTTGCTTTCGAGTTCTGTTTACACGGAGACGTTATATTGAAAGGCGAGGAGATTATCGCTCACGTGGACGGTCGATAATCGCAAATGTTTAGACGAGGAAAGTTTTTTTATATTCTTTCGATAATCGTATCTTCGAGACGAGAAACTCTCTCCATCTAAATGGGCCTTAAATACGATCTCGTATGACATTTTTTCAAGTTCATACGATAATCGTACAAATCGGTTCGACCCGTTTTGAGTGCAAGAATTGCCATTCGAGATCAGTGATAAAGGCCCATTTAGATGAGGAGAGTTTATCGCACGCTTCGTGACGAAAAATCGTACGCGATTATCGTAAGCATTAATCGCCATAAGATTATCGTATCATAACGTTTATATTCAGGCAAGAACTTAAATCTCGCCTACGATTATGTCATACGAGATTCGCAAGCAACTTAATCGCCTACTCGACTGTTAACACGGAGAAATATGTGGTAAGGAGATTCTTGTTTACGAGTTTTCGACTTGTCTAAACACGATCTCGTAGGACATATTTTCAAGTTCATACGATCGTACAAATCGGTTCGAACCGTTTTGAGTGCGAGAATTGCCATTCGAGTTCAGTGATTACGGCGGTATTGACTATGTATACATATATCAAAATGACGCAAAAATCATTCAAATTTGGAACTGCTGATATTAAGTTCATTGCATTGTATAGAAATATACATTTTTAATTATTTTTTTTTTTCAAATTTTATAACATTTCTTAATCCAAAATTTTTTTTCGTTGTATCATTAATTCTTGTCTTAGAAAAGCAGTGATAATCTAAACACCCTCGCGCACTCGTGGTAGAAACGGCTGGCTCAGAAACTCGAAATACGATTTTTGCTTTCGAGTTCTGTTTACACGGAGACGTTCTATATTGAAAGGCGAGGCGATTATCGCTCACGTGGACGGTCGATAATCGCTCACGTGGACGGTCGATAATCGCGAATGTTTAGACGAGGAAAGTTTTTTATATTCTTTCGATAATCGTATCTTCGAGACGATAAACTCTCTCCATCTAAATGGGCCTAAATGTTATTAGTCTTATTATTGTTACAGTGTCTGCTGGGGGTAGTAAAAAATAACTTAAATTATTATCTGCGCAACGTATTTGTTTTGCAGGAATTACTATAGGAGTTGAAATAACCAATTTGGCTTATTTTGGTTTCTGCAACACAGGAAATAGTTTTTATTTTCGTCCAACAGAAAATCGCCTGGCGCTTGAGACGGAAGTATAATTTGGACACTAGATTAGGAGATCCGATTTTTTAGAATGATTTTATTGTAAAAAAAGTTTTATTCCAAAAATCGAGTCTGATTTTGATGAATTTGATGGTCATTAAAAAGTCACCTGTTTTCATCATGCTTTAATTGCAATGCAAATATTTTAAAACTTTCGATCCATGTTGCTTTGTTACAGCTGTTCATTTATATTGATAGAATCATCCCTTAAAATGGCATTATTTTGTGCTTTTGGCGCTATTTGCCACAATTTCATCACTATTTTTTGTCTCTCAAATTAACCTTCACCTCAAATTCACAACTTTATTGTCCCTAATTGTATGCACCTGCAAACAAACTGTTATCAAAACTTTATTTTTTTCGAATCGAACCCAGGACTTCCTTATCCAGCTCCCACAACGTAAAACGTTGTGCCACCAAGGTCTTAATTGCATGAAATAGAAGATAATATTGATATACTTACTGTTCCCAGGATTAAGATAAAAATAAAGTATTTAAGACACTATGTAAAAAAATATCTCTTATACCTAAACTAAAAAAATAATTACGTGAAACACATCATGTTTAACGCAATTGTCTGAAGCGACGCGAGCGCACATCCCCAGGAATGTACCGGTCGACTGGCCGAAAGTGCAAAAAGTGCTATCGCTCTTTTACTTCTAATTTATTTATTTATCTCATATTGCACATGTACATAATAAAAAGTTCTTACAATAAAATTTGGTATTTTACATAACTCAGTCAGAGTGTTGCAAATAAGCTTAAAAACTAAATCTATAAATTATTAATAAAATTTAATTAATTTGAATGAAGTGAGCTTTCCGTGAGTCTTTTCTTTATTTTACACACATAAACTCTTTTATCGAATAATATGAGTTGTGAATAAGATATTGTTTCAATTTCTTTTTAAATGCATTAATGTTATCCTCTTGTCTAATAAATACTGGGATTTTATTGTAGATTATAATTCAACTATACAATGGACCTTATTTAAACATTTCTAATTTGGGTTCAGACAGAATTAGATTATATTGACGGCGGGGATTTTGATTAAATTCAAAATAAGTTGGTTGTTTACGGATAAACAATGCACTTCCATGATATAAAGGCATGGGAGAGTTAGAATGTTCTCTTTAATAAAATGTGGTCTACAACTTTCCCGTTGACGGATATTTCCTATAATACGGAGACATTTTTTTTGAAGACTGAACAGGTCATGCGCATGAGTACTTTGTCCCCAAAGAATAATTCCGTAGCGCAACCATGCATACGCATACGCGTAGTATGCAGATAAGGCACATTTTGCATGCATATTGGCTTTTAGGACGCTAAGAGCATAGATAAATTTGGAAATGTTTTTCCCAATTCTATCTACATGTCTGCCTTCCAGTTTAAATGCGAATTGAAATAGAACATTTGTATGTTGGGTACTTCTTGGATTTTTTGATTGGTTTTATCTTTATTTAGATTTATTGGTGATTTTTGATAAGGATGGAACTGTATGAGTTGAGTTTTATTATTGTTTATTTCAAGGTTGCGTGTGTTAAGCCATTTTTTTAAAGTAATTAGTGTGGAGTTTATTATTGGATTATAATCGACATTTTTGGGGCATTTTATCAGGACAGAGACATCATCAGCAAAATGAATACACTTTGTGTTTATTGTTTTTGGCAAGTCATTAATGTATACTAGGAAGAGAACACAACCCAAAACACTTCCCTGTGGGATTGAGTGATTTATAGTTATAGTTCCTGATTTAATAGGTTTATTATATTTATTAATACAAAGATCGAACACTCAGAAAAAATTCCTTCGATCCGGCCGGATTCGAATAATTATATATAATAATTAATAGGTTTAATTTCCCGAGTTTGATCCTTAAAATATTCAATCTGCACGAACTGTCGTCTATTGTGTAGATAAGAACGAAACCATTTTAGTGCACCTCCACGAATACCAACTCCATGTAGTTTTGATAGCAACACTTCATGGTCAACCCTATCGTACTCGACTGCGTGACATTTTCCCTTATATGGTTCAGAATCTCCTGTATGTAGTTGTATGTGGCGAGGACAATCGAACGTTTTCCGCGAAAGCCATATTGATTCTTATCCAGGATCTCCTATTTCTCCAGAAATGAGTACATTCGATTGAACATTGGTTTTTCAAACAATTTGGAAAGTGTGAGAAGTAATGCGATTGGTCTGTACTGGTTGGGTTGGTTTGCCTTGTTTTTTTAAATTAGGTTTGATTTTTGATATTTTTAGCCTATCTGGAAAAATGTTTTGAGCAAGGGATTCGTTCTCTAGAGCGGTGAGTACAGGTATTAATTCATCGCGACAAGATTTTATCAAAACTATAGGTATTTCGTCACTCCCGTAGCTGTATTTATTAGGAAGTTTTCTGATAAGGCCATTCATTTCTTTTTCTGTTATTGGTTTCAATAATATTGAATTTGTTGTAGGTTCAAGTACTGCACGTCCTTGGTCCACTTGTTTTTTACACAGTGGTTTACCTACTGAAGCTAAAAACCTGTTGAATTCGTTTGCTACTAAATGTGGACACGTTATTGGGATATCGCCAGATTTTAAATGTACATTTTTATGATGATTATTGGCGCATTTGTTTTTAATTACGTGCTTTATCACAGTCCATCTACATTTTGATTTATTTTGTACTTACTTGGACAGTGGAGAAACTTGAACATAGAGGAGCGTTGCATTACAAAGTCTATAAAGTAATCTGCGTAAGCGACAAATGAAAACATCTCAGTTTACTTGAAAACGATCTAATTTAAAAACGATGAAACACTATTTGCCAGCTTGCGCTATTGTCGAGGACTTTGAAATACCGGTACCCCCGACCTGACCTAGTGTATGAACGTTACTAATTATATTGCAGAATAGTAGCTGCTCTATTGAAAAAAAAAATACCGAACTAATCTTCTCTTTCCATTTCTAGGTTCACCCGCAAGGTGCGAGTTTGGACTACGTAGTTTCTTATGTACGAGCCCTATTCTCACACGTATCACAAGCAACAGTACATCATGTTTTACAAAAGCATACAGATGTATTCCAATGTACGACTACTGGAGTCGGTGCTAATATCGAACACCGATGGTCCTTTGTTGTATTTAAAAATATTGATATTGTTTAGGAAGAACTGCAAAAAAATGTTATAAAGGTAACTACTCTATAAAATCATATCTCAAATCAATGCGTTACTGACAAAATAAAAAATTACAAAGAATTTATGTCAGTAATAAAGGACTGATGCAAAATTAATTAAGATAGATTTAATTTGTACTTACGCTATGTAATTTTAATAAAAATCTTGTGTGATGACGTTAAAAAATACTGACTTGATTTCTATTTATAGTGAATTATGTGAACAAATTAGTTATTTACTAAATACATATTTTATTGTTGTCGAAATTTAATATACATACATAAATTACATGTTATACGTAATACGATTTTTTTTTGTATTTTTCATTGCTGCTTCTTTTATTAGTTTTCATAGCAGTGTCATTACTTGTTAATGCACTAAGGGCGTGTTCAAATTAGCCGCTGTTATATGCGCTGCAGCAGCGCCGCCGCCACGCGGCGACCGCGCGACGCTTGCGCTGCAGTCACGCTCGGTTGCAGTCTCGGTTAGTGAGGTGTACACATTGACCTACCAATGGTACATGTTAATTTTTCAAATTAACCACGATGGATGAAAATCTAATTGAAGAATTTATAGAGAATGTAAAACAACACGCTGCAATATGGGATAGCAGTTCCGCCAGTTATTCCAATCGACTGGATAAAAAAAAGACATGGGAAAATTTGTCTAATATTTATTGACAATTTTGAAACTGAAACTACAACTGAAAAAAACATAGCAGGTGAGTCATTTTAATACCTATATTTGAAGTGTGTGCCGCAAAACTAGGTAAAAGTAATGCTTCTTCGTCAGAATCCATCGCGTAACTGAGTTGATAGACAAAACATGACTAAAAATTTGGTCACTTTTTTGGTCACAAATTTGGCACTGCCGAAGTGCGACCAAATTTTTAGTCATGTTTTGTCATGACGGTCGCGCGACCGCCGGCGCCGCGCGGCTGCAGCGCTTCTAACAACGGCTAATTTGAATGCACCCTAAACTTGTAGGTTTTATCATAGTAATATCATAGACTACTAACTTAAGAGAACTGCTAATCGCGATACGAGACAGCGTAGTCGGGTATTTAGTACCTATTACTCTACTAGATGGCACTTATTTCACAGATTTTTATGGATACTGCCGGCTATTCTTTTATTTTGTGTAGGCTTAGCGTCATTTACACATATTAGAAGGCGGTGTAACCTATTGATATGCGTATTTGTCAAAGATCAGAAAATAATTTTAGCTCCAAGAAAAAAAAACTGACTACTTGTACTTCTTAATTGATATCCATGGCCCTTTACATAATTTAAACTGCTTCCAGGCTATCGATCAGCGCCATCCAGATATGAGACGAGATTTTGACCTTTTTTAGAGTCACGATCTGTAGTATAGAGATTCGCCGTCCTCTTGTGTTATTGGCCCGTAGTAATACTTAAAAATGGGAAAGAACGTGATTTATATACGTTCTTATGCATATTTTAGTCAGAGGTTCCCTCTTGGTTGTTTGATACATTATGAGTGTGTACATTATTATTATGTGCAGTGTTGATTGAGGATGATCGATTGATTGCGGTAGTTTTGTTTATGATTGATTTGCTTGACCATTTTCTTTGGCCTGCAAATTGCTGACCATCTGTGTATATTCGGCAGTAGCCTCTTCTAAATCTTTGTCATTGGCCGTAGGGTCACTTTCGTTGACTTGCGGTCCACCATCGCGGTCCTGCCGCATTCGCAATCGAAGCTCCCTCATACGCGCCTCTAGAATACGCTCTCGTTTGTTCTCGCGTTCCAGGATCTGAAATTTATGTCACAAACCAGCAGAATTTATTATAAGCGCGGGTTTGATATTATAGTAAAACTGCAATTGAATAGACAAGAAAACGATGCTGGTAAATTCCTGGATCATCCTAGCTTGCCACTGGTGTAAAATCAACTGGCGCAGCTATCCGAAAAACTAAGGAAAAAAACACGTCCTTTATTACAGTGTGACCATGCTTGAGTTTTTTAAACTTGACTAGTCAGATAAAGTCTCCATTTAGTCGGTTCTGTGGTTGCAAAAAACTAGATTTAGACATTCAAGAGTTAGAAGTGCATATGTCATGAATTAGTCGGTTCTAGTCGTAAAAATCTTCATTAAGTCGTTATGTCGGTTTAAAGTTACAAAGGTGTGTTACTATCCTCGCTGAAATAAACATATTCCTTCGGCACAATTTTTCCTTAATATCTTAATAAACTTAATCTGTTAATAAATTAATGACAATGATAGTTATAGTTAAATCCTTACATGTGTCAGAAGTTGTTTGTCATTTTTATCGGCTGTTCCGAGGTTTTGGGATAATTCTGCAAGGTATACTGTTCCTTTACTGCTACCACACGCCACGAGTAATCCCTAAAAAAGTTGGAATTTTCAAGTGTAATTGGGTTAGTTTTTATCGCTAATGCAAGAACTTTTGAATCCCAAAATACAGTCTTGTTGCCAGTACAATATTTAGTATGTTGTTTAAAATGTGCATCATGTGTCAGTGTCAGATACTTACTCCCTCATGTGGGCGAAGTCTTAACAGGGGTTCGTCGCAGATTTGCGCCGTCACAATTGGAGCACTACGCCTTCGCAACAAATCCCAACATGATAGACATCCGTCCCATTGGGTGACCAACATCAATGAAAATCTAAAATGTCAAAAGTTTTCATAACTATTATCTACCTCTATGTTTATAATTGCTTTAACTTTAACTGCCTCAGTGGCCGAATGGTTACCATGCCGGACTGCCAGGCAGAGGTCCACCCAGATTCGATTCCCGGGCCGGGAGCAGTATTTATATGGCCTACATTTATTTCTCTCGTGAGTTTGGATGTAATTTGTGGTTGTCTATGTTTGTGACCATGGCACCTGCGACACAGGGTTTCCCTAGTAAGGGGCTATATTGAGTGTGTATATTATATTTCAGTGTAAAGTAATGGAAAGGATATTTGAGGAATTGGAACACTTAATCCTTGGCAGTCACTTTCTTACGTGTCGAGTTTTTATTCTTTCTCTTACCTAATGTTATCAAAATAGATAATAAATTAAAAGTTTCGTCAAAAAATTAAAAATTTTTGACAATTAAGTCGTGCGCCTGGTCGTAAGCGACTTGAATGCCCATAGCAGTTGAAATGCCTCTGAGAGCTTTAAATTGCAAAGATCATATGGGCACTGTGTGCATTGTGCTCGTCACCCTGAGACGTAAGTTGACAAGGCCTAAGTGTCCGTAATTTCACCAGCACCCTAACCCTTCAAAACCGGAAGATAGTAATACTCACGTTACTGCTTCGCGGCAGAAAGAAGGATGTGTGATAGGTACCTGTGCTTTTATACATTTATAGGAAATTATTACAATACCACCTAATAGGATTCCAAGCGCCATCAGTAAGTTTAGTCCGATGTGAGTAGGTCCATAGGATAGATGATTCTCGACAATCCTCGCTCCAGACGCGAGCCGTCCAATCCCCTACAGTTAAGAAATTCTTCAAGAATGTCGGATTACGTTGAAGAGCATACACTGGACCGAGATGAGCTTCATACTGAAATAAATAAAAATAACGCAGGTGTGTATGTATTTAACTACAGAAATATATTTTTATCGCGATTTAAGATCGGAAAAATAGTTTCATTGCCTATTACTATAATAACTCGAACAATTGTTCAGCCTGTATAAAACATAATGATTATATACACACATCAACACTGTCTAGGGATATTTCACGTTTATTAGAAAAAATTGTAAGTCAATGGAAAAACCATAAAAGTACTGATCATATCAAAAAGATTTAAACGTCAATTTGCTCCTGGCACATTTTTTCTGTATTCTAAATTCAAATTTAAAACAAAAGAACGACGGATGCGATGGTATTTTCTTAACTTTATTACGATAGTTTGTTTTCCTCTGTGTGTCATAAAATGGTCATAAAGATGAAATTTTTTTAAACGGAATTTAATTTTTTTTTTCACAATTTTATTAATTGCATTATTACCGGTGGTTGTTTCTATACTATGGAACGCCGACATTTAACTAAAGAAGAGATGTTGAGAGCCGTAGGCATGCTAGAAGCCGGCGCGATCCGGTGCAATGTTGCTTATGATTTGGCACCAGTCAAAGCGTCATATCAAGATTATGGTCTCGCTACCGAGACAGAATTGACCTCACATGCGTACAGGGCAATTTAACTGCCGCAAAATATCGTTATGAGTTGCTGGAATTTATAGTCCAACCACATCGGTTACAAATGGGTCAGGACTTTATGCTTATGCGTGATAATGCTCGCCCTCACACAGTTCGAATAGTAAGTCAATGGCTGCAGCAACGTAATGTTGAGACACTGGACTGGCCCGCTCAGTAATTTAATCAGCAATTTTAGTATAAAGTTAACTTTTTCTATTTTTACCATAAAAGTCATTTAAAATAAATATAAATTTTGTTATTAAATTTTCTGTCAGATTATAAAATACTGCACATTCCCTAGACAGTGTTGATGTGTGTATATTATATATTAAACTAGTTTTTATTATTGTTCAAATGTCCAGTAAATAAGGAATCACGTAATTCAAAAGTTAATTCAACTTTTGAATTACTTTGCTTTAGAATCATTGCCCTATTTATGTTGGTAGGTCAATGTTTAGAATTGAAATATGCGTCTTTTTCGTTGACACCTATTTAACTTTAGGATGTGTCGATTACATTCCTTACCCTATTTGGTAGTTTCTCAACTGGGTTTTTTCCTTTACGATTTCCTCCAATGACGAGTCCAGTTTCTGTTCCGACCATGAACCTTAAAAAACATTGACGAATTCGTTATCTTTTTAACTTTAGCTCGGGCGACCGGCGACGACGTGACCTTTGGGGATTACCTAGTGGGTATGGTTGGCTCGTATTCGAGTGCGGAAATTCCTAAAGCGTTCTCTATGCTTTGAGGATCTGTAGGTGCTTTGACAAGGTCAATGATCATGGAGTCTGTGGGTTCGTTCATGTTTCGGGTGTCCCACCTAAAATACAGAGCAATGTTGATAGGAATATCGCCAGTAAGTGTAACAACTTTCGTTGGCGGTGTAAATTTACCATTTAACAACGCCATCAGGTGATGAGGAAAAGAATTCTGCGCCGGTTTTCGAATTGATGAATAAAACGTTTCGAACTAAATCTCTGTGCGCTACATGCGGTGGACAAATTCCGACTGCTTCGCCACCCTTTCGCATGTCCCACCAACCCACCTAAAAATTCACTTTATGAAAATTATCCGTCAAGTGACTAACTTTACTAGCTTGTATGTTGTTCTACCAACAGCTTTTCAATCAACTGTATATTAAGCAATGAAAGTTACCTGTCCATTTACCATTCCCCCCACTAAAGTGTGCTGATCTCGTGGGTTGTATTGTAAATCTAGCAATGGTGAAAGCGACTTCATTACTAGTTCTGGTGCGTTCGCATTTTCTGGGAACCAAGCATTATTTTTGTTTTAAATTTAAACTTTCTAGAAAAAAGTCATTGGTTTCATACAATTTGTCTTACCAATATCCCAAATATAAGAGAATTGTTGAGTCCTGGAATTCTTTACAAGATCAATATCAGCATGCGCGGATGCGAGCTTCGCGCCACCATCCGACTGCCAGGATAAGGACCTAACTGGGCGTCGAGTCCCAGGTTCTCGATATACATTGACAGTGTGACATGTACTGTGCTCCACTGGCGGTATTGGCGGCAATTCGGAATAGTAAATTTGGTACATGTCCATCGCGTTGTTTTGCAGAATGTTGTGCTCCATACTCTGAAGATTATATTTGAACCTTAGCGACGATCTTATTTAAAATACTAAAAGCCTTTCTAAATCTGTTATGACTTACATGTCCCAAGTGCATTACAGCGTGGATATATGCATCATCCTTCTCTATCTTGCGCCTGTACCTTAAAGTGGCTTCAGGATCATTCATGTTGATGTCTTTAGGCCATCCGCCTTCAATATGATTCATGCCAGATGTCGTGTATTCCGCTCTAAATATATGAAAAAGATACATATTTCAAATACTTAGATAACGACATGCCTAGGTACCTAATTTTGCCAATATGTATATATGTATGATGGGTATGTGCAATGGTCGGAAAAAGGTGTTCCACATATGTAGATGCATGTATAGATATAGCTACAAGGAGCGATATAGAGTTATAAAACCACCAAATAACAATTAATTACTGTTTCGAATTCCGGATTTCCGGAAATGGTTTTACTGCATCGTTAGACAAAACTACTGACCTAGGAAGACGAAGTTTGATTTTAAAGTAAAGGGTGTGCATGGAAAGAGCCTCCGCGTGGCGCACACTGGTAACAGCTAGGCACGGTAACGCAGTGCCTAGACTGGCTAATCTTTTCAACACGAAGCTTCAACCGACTTATGACCCCCTTCCAAAGCCTTCACTTCTAAAACCAGCTCTGAAGGTTGTCTCAATTAATATCGAAGCTTTTTCTGATAATAAATCGATTCTTTTTTCAGAACTTAGTTTTGCGACTCAGTGTGATGTCTTGTGTGTCCAAGAAACACACCGTGGCCAAGAACATCTTAGGCCACAAGTACCTGGTATGACACTTAAGGCCCATTTAGATGGAGAGAGTTTCTCGTCTCGAAGATGCGAGAATCGATGAGTGAGGAGTGTTTATTACGAATGAATGAATTAACTATTAGGAATTAATAGAAATTACGAATATAGCATTTATTTCTAAATCCAAGATGGCGAACACGACTTTTCAAGTAAATGCACTTTTCAATAAATACTCCTCACTCATTCCCCACTAACTCCCCACTCACTCACTCGCCCTATAAATTTATCATATTTGTCAGTTTTTGTTTGTGTCAGTAGTTATAATTTTTTTTTTAAATTATAAACAAATTATAATACAAATTATATTTCTATACAGTGCAATGAACTTAATATTATCAGCAGTTTCAAATTTGAATGATTTTTGCGTCATTTTGATATATCCATAGTCAATACCGCAGTAATCACTGAACTCGAATGGCAATTCTCGCACTCAAAACGGTTCGAACCGATTTGTACGATAACGTATGAACTTGAAAAAATATCACACGAGATCGTGTTTAGACAAGTCGAAAACTCGTAAGCAAGAATCTCCTTACTACATATTTCTCCGTGTAAATAGTCGAGGAGGCGATTAAGTTGCTTGCGAATCTCGTATGACATAATCGTAGGCGAGATTTTAGTTCTTGCCTGAATGTAAACATTATGATACGATAATCTTATGGCGATTATTGCTTACGATAATCGCCTACGAGTTTTCGTCACGAAGCGTGCGAGAAACTCTCTCCATCTAAATGGGCCTTTACAGCTGAGATACCACGTGAAAAGTATGGCAGTGCCATCTTTACAAAATGTAGCTTAAATGTAACATCCGTATCATCTCAAATTGTAAATTCCATAGAAATTATTTCCATAAATATCGGAACATGTATAGTCACATCTGTGTATAAGCCACCAAATCAATGATTCGAGTTTTGTAAAACCATTAACTTTGACGACCAGCCCACTAGAATAGTTGTTAGTGATTTCAACAGTCACAGTTTGTCTTGGGGGTACAAAGTAACGAATTTTGACGGTGCAGCGGTAGAAGAGTGGGCTGACTCTTTAGACCTTACTCTGCTCCACAGCTCCAAACTCTCTCCATCGTTCAATAGCTGTCGATAGAGGAAGGGATATAACTCTGACTTAATTTTTACTACCTCTAATATAAGTCCTCTCTGCTCCAAGTCGATTTGTGTTCCTATCCCCAAGACACGGCACAGGCTCATCATGTGTATATATCAATGCTGCTATAACACCTATGCAAGCACCATTTAAGCGTCGGTTTAATATAGCCAAAGCAAACTGGGACCATTTCTCGGAGCTTATAGACGGGAAGCTGGGTAAAACTGACTTGAAGCTAATATCTGACAACTATGAAACGTTCAGAAACATCATAAAAACAGCATCAAGGCAAAGCATCCCTAGAGGTTGTCGTAACTCGTATATTCCGGGCCTGAATAAGAAATCCGCTAAGCGTCTAGCTATCTATGAGCAACTGTACACTAAAGACCCATTCTCCGTGGAGACCCTAATGGCTGGGAATGAGCTTTTGCATATGGTCAGTCAAAGCCGGAGAGAAAAATGGATGCATACAGTCTCTAACGTTGATATGACGCGGAATAGTAAGAAAGCGTGGTCTAATGTCCAGAAACTTACAGGAGATCCACCCTCTGCTGCGAACCCTGGTCTAGTTTCTGCCAATCAGGTAGCACATCAGCTCTTACTTAACAGTGAACCACCCAAACGGTTACCGAGGGTCCGGGAAATGCGTAACTCAAATGAATTTACAAATGAGATCAGTAAACCATTCATACTTACTGAATTGACTGTAGGGATTAAATTATTAAAGAACGGAAAGGCGGCAGGAATAGACGACCTTATGGTTGAGCAAATTAAACATCTCGGCCCACTAGCAGTAACTTGGCTGCTAGAATGTGTCAACTACTGCCTTGAAACTCATAGGATCCCCAAAATGTGGAGAAGATCAAAAGTTGTGGCTCACTTGAAGCTTGGTAAGTCTCCCGATGATCCCAAAAGCAATAGGCCCATTTCACTGTTGTGCCATCGTTACAAACTGTTTGAGAGACTGCTCCTCAACCGTCTAACACTATTCGTAGATCCGAAACTGATGGACGAACAGGCGAGATTCAGACCCGGAAAGGGTTGCAGTAGTCAGGTTCTCAGGCTCACCCAGCACATCGAGGATGGCTTCGAGAGAAACAGTACAACAGGCTTAGTCTTAGTTGACTTGACAGCTGCTTATGATACTGTAAATATACGAAGACTCTTACGAAGAGTCAAAGAACTGGGTTTGTTCGGATACTGGGTGAGCTTCTACGTAACCATCGTTTCCAGGTTCACTTCCTCTCGGAAAAAAAGCAGATGGCGTAAAAAACGGACTTCCCCAAGGGAGTGTCCTTGCCCCAACTCTTTTCAACATCTACACCAATGGTCAACTCAGCAGCCCATCTACAACACGTTTCATATATGCGGACGACCTAGCGCTGACAACCCAGGTACCAACTTTCGAAGAGGCCGAAGAGAACCTGACCTCTGCCTTGAATGAGCTGGGAACGTATTATGATTTAAACGGTCTCAGGCCCAACCCATCAAAAACCCAGACGTGTGCTTTCCATCTACGCAACTATCAGGCCAACTGAACGCTGAATATCACCTGGCAAGGAGTCAAAATCCAACACGAGTGTTTTCCTAAATGTCTGGGGGTAACGCTGGACAGATCACTCACCTTCAAACCGCTCTATCAAAAGACCAAAATGAAGGTCAGCTCATGCAATAACCTCCTTCGACGTCTAACATCCACCAATTGGGGAGCAGCGCCAGATGTCCTACGAACTACGGGTTTAGTATTGTGTTTCTCTGCTGGTGAATACGTGTTTCCGATGTGGCATAGGTCTGCACATGCTGGATTTGTTGACGTAGCGCTTAATGAAACAGTACGCTTGATTACGGGCTGTCTCAAGCCAACTTCCCTCAATATGGTATATCCTCTAGCTGGTATTGCAGCACCATACGTGCGTGCGTCGGGATGTAGTATGCTCCGCGGAGAAGTACAAACAAGAGAGTGACAGTCGACACCCTTTATATGGCCACCAAATTCCCCGAGCTCGCCGCAAAAGTTTCCTGCGCACCACAAAGGCTACGAGTGACCATCCAACTATCACTAAGCGTGCATTGTGGAAACGGAAAAATTCCCCACCACCTGGTTTCATCGTATCTCAAGAGCAACTACCACCAGGTTGTGACCTGCGGTGGGCCGTGTGGAAGTCCTTAAATCGCCTTCGCACGCAGGTAGGACGCTGCAGAGACACGATGTGTAAATGGGGTTTCAATTGCTGTTGTGACTCTTGTGTTCTAATACCTGTACGAGGGAAGATCTCTACGCGGACAGCGTAGTCAAAGTAGCAACGTACTATTCAGGGTCAATATAGTCCTAAAATAAAAGAAGTAATTGACACGATAAGAAGAAGAAAGTAATTCCAATGTTGTTATGTAAAAAATGCATTAGATAACTGACCTTTTACCAAAACAGATAATAAAAAAGTAACGAGAATGGTCACTCTCCGCCCCACCCTAGCTTTAGATACCGCATATTGACGGTCACATCGACGGAACGGTGAATTTTAGGTCATTTTACTTTGCATGAGAATCGTTGTGAACCCGCTCTAAAAATATTTTATTTAAATTCAAAAAGACTATAACAGATGTTCACAAATTCTGACCAATAGCAGAAATGAGAAATGTCGTATTTCAAAAGGAAAATGTTCACACTTGATTATTTTAATACTTAACAAAAACTGCTGGATTGTTTAAACAAGACGAAAAAGTGCCATTTTTGACTGCCATTTATGTCCATAAATAGAATAAAAAGACGAGTTTCTTTCATCCAGGAATCCGGAATTCGAAAAAAGTAATTAATTAATATTTGGTGGTTTTAACAACTCTCTGTCGGTCCTTGTAGCTATATCTATACTTGTATCTATGTATGTGGAACACTTTTTCCGACCATAGGTGATGACATTTAATATTAACAGCGTTAAAATTTTTTTGACTTACCTTTCTGAATTGACCCAATGTTCAGACATAGTTCCGGTATTCTGTATGGCCACATGTACAGGATTCCTCAGAACATAATTACCATATACCGCAGGGTTCCCGGGAATATTGACGATTAATTCAGGGCCTTGATCTTCGAACAAAGTTTGCTTTCCGAACTCCCTTCTCTTTTTGAAGTACTCGTATACGAGTGAATCTTTTTTGTCCTGTTTCGATGATGTCGAAGCCGGTGGTGGTGGATTTTCCATTCTGTTTAATTTTACCTTAGTACTACTTCTTAATACACCACTGGACTTGATTGACTGATTGTTAACTAAATTGTAGGCATTTGACGTTTTTGTTTGATCAATAGTTTCCAAGACAGTAAAGTCCTTACTTTGTACTTAATTAACAACTCAAGTTATTCTAAGTACGACATTTTATATTAAGTAGGCGTATCTACTCGCCTACTTTAAGTAGGTGACCATATTCAAGATTTTAAAAATAAAACGACAAGATTACCAAAGCGGGTATATAATTACCTACTCCTTACGATTAGAACATTGCCGTCCTTGTCATAACGCTTTGCATTTTGGAAACTTCGAGGTATTGAAACCTAAAATGTTTTCCCTTTAACAATAAAACTGAAAGTAAAAAAACCGCATATAGGGGGTTGTAGATCTCGTTTCGCTGGTTCCAGATATGTTAACAACTCGAATTCTCTAAAAATTAGATTACATTAGTTGTAATAAGGAGGGCAGAATAACAAACAAAATGTATAATTTGGCAAACGCAGTAGACAATTTAAACATTACGTCCATGAAGGCTTACGTATACTATGAAAAATAGAAAAACTAATATAAAGGAATAGGATCAGCGGGCGAAGCTCGTCGCAGCGCCAGCACCAGTAGCCTTGGCGGGGACCCTGCAAGTTTCGCGCAGCATTGTTCTAGGAGTATCCGCCAACGAATAGCTGCTCTGTCTTCTGATGTCATCGCTTTCAACTGGTCTATCTGCATTCCATTGGTTAAATAAACATACTGCGGAAAATGTAGATGCGGTTGAATTAGACTTTTCATAATTAAATACGTACCGTGTAACCTAACGTTTGCTCAAGTATATTGATCGGAAGACGTGCATTTAGTTCTCCAGTATGATCTGCGAATCTAACTCGTAACTCTTCAGCGTTATCGCTGTAAAAAAGAAACAACCGACTTTAAAAAATGAAGTAGGCTCTCAATTACACTATGTTTTTTTGTGAACCGATTTTGATATTGGAAATGAAACTATTTTTCCGGATTTAGATCGCGTATATTTGTTTTTCAAACAAACCGACGTTTCGGGCCCTTTACAGGTCCCATGGTC